CTCCGTCTTACGCCTCAAGGAGGAACTCCTCTCTTTTTTTCACTTTTACCTCTCTTTTGTGGAGGACCTACAGAGGCCGTTAGAGCTCCGCCGTTATGCAACAGTGCAGGTGTGCTGGGGAGAATGAGATGGCACGGTGGCGGAGTGACCCATTACATCGCCCATACCACATTACCGGATTCCCTGCGATGTCAGTTCCCTGCGCCCTGCGGCTTTTCGTCCGAGGGCTTCCACAGCTGCCGTCAGCTTGCTGGCCGGCCCTTCGACGCAGGAGACGGTTCTAAGAGCCGCTCATGCCTATGAGCAGTCGACGGAGTGGCACTTCCGACGCCCTCCGGTTCTGTATGCAGTCTCGCTCTCCCCGACACTCGAAGGTCGTATTCGAGAGGAGTGCTACGGCCCACATTGCGTCTGTCAGCGTGGCGTCCGACGCCCGTTGCGGATACAATTGTAGAAAGATATCTTCGCATTATTCTCCGGGTCCGCCGAAGCGATGTCTGAGATTACCGCTGTCACATTCGATCTATGGCAAACCTGCTTGTGTGGACGACCGCGAGTTGGGCTGCTTACGCGTTCCAATGCCAGGCTAGAAGGTGTGCGGAGATCATCGCAGGATGCGCGAGGAATACGTTCGACACACGAGCGGATCAGCGAGGCGTACTGGGAGTGCTTTCGTAAATGCGTGGCCATTCGGGAAGTTCTGCTGGACGTCAGCTTCCCCGAACAGATCGACATATTTGTGGAGAGCATAAGCCCGGGACTGGGACAGCGACTGGGCGAGAAGACACTGGAAACAATCACCGAGCACCGGCGTTTACGCAGACAGCTCCTAGACTACCCGCTTTGCTTGTCCACGTGGACGCGCGTCTCCGACGCAGAGTGTGCGTGATGATGGGGCTGCGCATTGGGTGATTTAACACTGGAATGACCCCCGGCACCACTTTCCGCACGTCCGTGGCTATACAGGGATGCTGGACTATTTCGACACGCTTACATTCTCGGATGAAGTGAAGATGTCGAAACCGGCGAGGGAGATATTTCTTCTCACTCTCCGCTCTCTTGAAACTTCTCCCGGCCAAACGGTGCATGTGGGGGACAGTATCCGAAACGACGTGGCCGGTGCAAAGGACTGTGGCCTGAAGACGGTCTGGATCACCGGATTCAGCGAGCGAGGCGACGCGGACGAAACCCTCAACAGACCTGACCACTGTGCCTGGTCTTGGAGAGTGGTGGCCGGGCCATGTCGCGCCTGTCCTTCCTAGGTCCGATGATCAGCTGATGCAGCCAGTCCAGTACCGGGCGCGACAGTTCCCTGCCACCACCCTCCGGAGTATCAACTCACCGTTGTTTCCTTGACAGTGTTCAAGGCGGGTGATAGCGTCGGCGGAGAGGCATTGCGGATTCTGGAAGCATCGCGGCTTCGAATCCGCAGTTGTCGACACAGCATTCCCGGCGGAAACTACATTTATGCGGCTGGTGAACGACTGGCAGGGGCTTGAAGGGGAAGATAGCGCCGCAGACTTGCAGGAAGTGTGCGAGCGTGTCTTTTCTCAACGTCCGGTCATACTTGTATGCAACCGCGGCCCGGTAGAGTACCAGATGGTGGACGACAAGCCCAATGCCCGCCGTGGCAGCGGCAGTGTCGTCACTTCGTTCAATCCGCTGGCTCAAAACTTCGAGTTTACATGGGTCTCCAGCGCCATGAGCGAAGGAGACCGCAGGGTGGCGGAGTCGTCCGCCCGCGGGTACGCTGTCTCCCTCTTCAGGACACCGAATTGGCCTCCGCTACGTCACTACTCCCAGGCGTGCGTATCACAAGTATTACAACGTGATATGCAACCCCCTACTCTGGTTCCTGCAGCACTACATGTGGAACCCTCCCTACAACCCCACGGTGGACGCCAGCGTGCACGACGCCTGGGACACGGGATATGTGCCGGTAAACGAAGCGTTCGCCAAATCAGTGCTCAGTGAAGCCCGCACGGGCGATTCACCGCCGGTCGTCCTAGGACACGATTATCATCTATACCTGTTGCCAGAATTCGTCAGGAGGGACCTTCCTGAAGCGGTAATTCAGCACTATGTCCACATTCCTTGGCCCGCTCCACTCTGCTGGAACCTGATACCACGCTACATGGTGCGGCGCATATGTGAGTCCCTGTGCGCGGCTGACATTGTTGGCCTTCCAAGACGAGCAATACCTTCGATGCTTCCTGGACACAGTGGAGGAATTCGTACCTGACGCACTGGTGGACCGAATCGCCCGCACAGTTGAACTTCATGGCCTTCAATGTAGTGCCAAAGTCTACCCTGGCTCCATTAACGTGGATGAAGTGCAGAGAATCGCGACGCGCGTCTCTAAAACTGTGACTCGAAGGGCGCCATCAAGGTTTTGAGGTCAGGTACGATGAACATCGTACGCATCGACCGGGCGGAACCCAACAAGAACATTATCCGCGGATTCCGAGCCTCCGAGCAGATGTTGTCCAAGCAGCCGGAGCTAAAGGGCCGGGTCAAGTTCCTCGCGTTTCTCGTGCCGTCTCGAACGCATCTCAGGCAGTACCAACGCTACAAGGACGAGGTCAACCAAGTAATTCAACAGATTAACCAGACACACTCTTCCGGGCATTGGACACCAATCGTATCCTTCATGGAAAACAACTATGCACAAGCCATCGCGGGCATGAAGCTGTACGATGTGCTGCTCGTCAATACCCTGGTAGAAGGTATGAACCTGGTAGCGAAGGAAGGGCCTGTAGTAAACGACCGCGACGGAGTTCTCGTGCTTTCGCAAAGCAGCGGAGCATACAACCAGTTGTCGGAGGGGGCGCTGGGCGTGCCCCAACCGCGTGGGAAGGTAACGGCCAATGCCCTGTACGACGGCACTCTTCCCCCCCCCCAATTGTTTTTATTGTCTCCGGCCGAACGAAAGCCGGAGAGCGACCTGCTCTACAGCTCCATATGCCGCCACGATAACGACGACTGGCTGACCAGACAGTTCCTGGATATTAAGGGGTTACTGTAAACGGACTTCGCCGTACTACGCGACAGCCACCGGTCTGAACACCGGCGATCGTCTGATTAGTCGTTATAGCGGGTAAGTGGTGGCATGGAACAGTTCTTCAACCCCGGCCCCTTCGACACAGGCTTACCCGACCTCCTGCTCTGCATTTTCCCTCATCTCGTCCGCGAGTTCGCTCGTTTTGACGCCGTTCCCGGTGAGCCCCAGTACGGCTTGTCTGAAACGCCGATGACATCTTCGGAGACGAATTCTTTAGGGCTGTAGAGGCCGAGTTCTCCCATGCCCTCCGGCACACAGGGGAGTATCCCTTCTCTCACTTGATGAACATTACGATGCACTTTGAGGAAGTCATCCGAGAGGTGGCGATGCGGTCATACCGAGCACCTTGGAGTGCAGATGCATGGCGAGCCGGGCGAGGATATCTCAGCCGCCGAACTACCAGGGGTTGTCGTATTCGTTCTTACTGGGGGTGCTGTCTCGGCGCACTCCGAGATAGTTATGGAGGCATTGCGGGCCCTCCTAGAAAAGGACAGCAACATAGAGTCCCTGCGTGAGTGGGAAGCGAAGCTGGCCGACATGGTTGGCCGAAAGAAGGACAGATTCACGCAGCGACTCAGCAGGGAAGAACTGGCTGAGGCAATTCGAGGCGACTCTCCGGAATACTTCACTCTCTGGGAAAACCTGAACTGATGAGCAGTCCTGTCCAGGGCGAGAAGTTCAAGAAAATCGGGTTGATTTCTGACACCCACTGTGCGGGACGGAAGGGACCTTCCCAGGCAGGTGTGAAGGGGCGTTGATAGGGTTTACCTGATCCTGCACTGCGGCGACCTTGAGTGTATTGGCGTACTCGACTATCTCGAGAGCATCGCGCCAGTGCTTGCCGTCAGGGGTTACGAAGACCCCGTCGAGCCGGGGGAACGCCTGCGATACCACGCGGGTAGTGCACGCGGGCGGTGTATTGCGGATCGTAGATCCACGACATCCAGTGGCCGGGACCCAAGATCGCCACAACGCCGGACGGGACCGTGCGGTCGGGTATACCCGAGGGCCAAGGGCAAAAACAACTGGCACCTCAAGTTTGGAGAGCGCGTGGACGTGGTGGTATTCGGAGATACTCACGAGTAGCTTGTCTGGCCAGTGGGATGATGCACTGATGGTCAACCCGGGCAGTCCAACATATCCTGGCAAGCGACACAGGCGGGGGTCGCTGGGAACCGTCGGTATCCTCGATATCCAGGATGGCTCGGTTACCGCCCGGTTACTGGAACTGGACGCCAGTTAGAACTACGCTCAAACTACGGACGCCCACCCGAAGGGCAACAGGCCTCGGCGGGTAATGCGTTGGGGTCGGGATACTTCTCCAGCAATTACAACGATAAGTCGGGGGTGAAGCGCAGGCCGTCGAAGCCCATATTGACCCTCGGCGGAAGCGGCGGTGCTCTCACAGCACTCCGACAACTCGTTGAAGGCTCCTCCGTTCCTGCCGTCGCGGCATTCTTCCAGGATGGCCCTCAGGTTAACGCCTTCTGTCGCAGCCATGCGACCCATCCTCCGCGACTCGCGTCAGTTCGCATTTCCCACTTGCGACGCCGCAGACTCAAGGTCCCCGCCCGATGAGGGGAGCCCGTCGTTACGCCAGGTTGATCAGCGGCGTAACTTCCAGGAACACCGGGGCGAAGACCAGCGACACCACGGCCATCAACTTGAGCAGGATGTTGAGGGAGGGCCCGACGTGTCCTTGAACGGGTCTCCACCACATCGCCCTCTACTGCCGCCTTGTGGGCCTCCGACCCTTACCGCCGTAGTTGCCCAGTTCCACGTACTTCTTGGCGTTGTCCCAGGTGCCGCCTGCGGAGGCCATCATGATGGCCAGCATGAACCGGATGCCACCGAGCCGATAAGCAGCCCGCCCAGTGCTGCGGGGCCGAGGATGAAGCCAGCGGCAATGGGAGCGATGACCGCCATCAGGCCGGGGACAATCATCTCCCGCAGAGCGGCGCGGGTGCTGATGTCCACGCAGCGGGCCGAGTCAGGCTTGCCGGTGCCCTCCATCAGCCCGGGAATCTCCCGGAACTGCCGCCGCACCTCGTCCACGATGCCCTGCGCGCGCCCGGCCCACGGCCTGCATGGTCAGGGCCGAGAAGATGAAGGGCAGCATGGCGCCAATGACCAGCCCCACCAGAATTTGCGGCTGCAACAGGTTGATGCGACGTTCCCAGCATCAGTCATTGCCTGCAAATCCAGCTTTCCATCTGCCCCGATGGTGATTAACTTGGCGGTTACCGAGTAGGCGGCCAGCAGGGCCAGGGCGGTCAGGGCCGCGGAGCCGATGGCGAAGCCCTTGCCGGTTGCGGCGGTGGTGTTGCCGAGGGCGTCCAGCGCGTCGGTGCGCTCCGCGGACCTCGGGGTCGAGGTTGGCCTGCTCGGCGATGCCGCCGGCGTTGTCGGCGACGGGCCGTAGGCGTCGGTGGCCAGCGTGATGCCCAGGGTGGACAGCAGCCCCGACGCCGGCCAGGGCCACGCCGTAGAACCCGGCGAACCAGTAGGCCAGCAGAATGGCGATGGACACGCATATCACGGGAATGAGAGTGCTCAACATACCGCTGGCGATGCCCTGGATTATCACCGTGGCGGCGCCGGTCTCAGAGGCGGCAGAAACCCTCTGCGTCGGCTTGTAACTGTAGGAAGTGTAGTATTCGGTGCCCAGGCCGATAATCGTCCCCGCCACCAGCCCGGCGACCACGCAGCCGAACCACCACCAGTTGTCGGTGAGGGTGATGGTCAGGACCGCGGCGAAAATTATCAGCAAGCCGCCCGCCGCGAAAATGCCGTAGCGCAGCGACCACAACAACTTCTCGAAGTTGGCCTGCTCGCCGCTGCGGACAACGAAGGTGCCCAGTATGGCTGCAACGATGCCGGCGCCGGCCAAGAGCAACGGGAACACCGACTGCGGGTCGGTATAGTCGAATTCATTGGAGCCGCCGGTGGCAAATACCACGGCGGCGGCGGACAGAGCTATGGTGGAGATGATGGAACTGACGTAGGACTCGAACAGGTCGGCGCCCATGCCCGCCACGTCGCCCACGTTGTCGCCCACGTTGTCGGCGATCACGCCGGGGTTGCGGGGGTCGTCTTCGGGATGCCCGCTTCCACCTTGCCCACCAGGTCGGAACCTACGTCGCGGCCTTGGTGAAGATGCCGCCGCCCACGCGGGCAAACAGGGCGATGGAACTGGCGCCGAACCCGAATCCGGCAACGACGCTGATGTTCTGGAAAATCAGGTAGAGAATGGAAACGCCCAGCAGGCAGATGCCCACCACCGTAACGCCCATAACCGTGCCACTGGAGAAGGCAACCCGCAGAGCCGGATTCAGCCCAGTCATGGCGGCCGCGGCGGTTCGGACGTTGGCCCGCACAGCCACGCTCATACCAATGAACCCGGCGGTGCCGGAGCAGATGCTGCCCACCAGGTACGAAATGGCCGTCGCGGGTACGGGCAGGTCGTGGTCAAAGATAGTGTAGTCCAGCACGCCCAGCACCACGGCAACCACTATGACAAAGGGGAGCAGTGACATATATTCGCGGCGCAGAAAGGCCCCAGCCCCCTCTCGAATGGAGTCACCGATGCTGCGCATGAGTTCATTGCCGGCTTCGGCGCGAAGAACTCGCATAGCCGTGAATCCGCCAAAAATCAGGGCAAGCGCGCCTGCGGCAAGGGCAACAATTAACGATTCCATGCAATCTCTCGGAGGAAGATCAGAGTAGGGGTAAGGGGGAATTTTAGCGACAGAAAGTTATCACAACCAGCCATAACAGTCAATCGGAATTCGTCGCCCAGCGGGTCATGTCCAACATCCGCAGGTGCATGCGTATGCCATTCATTCGCTTCCAATTTCTCCTCGAATGGGCACATGGGTCGCGCCCGATTAGCTATGGCTGGTGAGAGAAACGCGTTCTACTCCTGATATACAATGCGTGGCAATCGATCTCGACGCTGACGGAGCCAGGATGAACATGCGTAGCAAGGACGAGGTACGAGAGGCGGTGTGGGCGGCTATGGAGGCGGCCCGTGCTGCCCATACCCGCAAGCTCCGCGACAGGATCCCCCACTTCCGCGGCTGCGAGGCCGCCGCCGAGAAGGTTGGCGAACTAAGGGTGTGGCAGGCCGCGCGTGTCATCAAGGGAAACCCGGACAAGGCGCAGCGTCCCTTGAGGCTGAAGGCCCTCGAAGAGGGCAAGACGCTATATATGGCGGTGCCTCGCCTCCGGCAGGAACAGTGCTTCGTGGAACTTGACCCCGCGTCGATGGGAGCTTCGCCAGCCGAGACATCCACCATCGCGGGGGCCTTCCGTTGGGGACGGCCGGTGTATGTGGAGGAGATGCGGCAAGTGGACTTGGTGATCTCGGGTTCTGTTGCGGTCAATCGTATGGGGAACGCGGGTGGGCAAGGGTGGCGGCTTCGCCGACCTGGAGTACGGCCTCGCCATCGCCGCCGGCATCGTGTCGCCCGAGACGCCGGTGGTCAGCACGGTACACCAGATGCAGGTGCTGGACGAGGACCTCCCATACACTCGCCACGACGTCTTTCTGGACTACGTGGTGACCAGCGACGAGGTCATCGAGTGCAGCGGCGATATCCCGAGACCGACGGGCATTTACTGGGACGACCTGACTCCGGCCAAGATCCGGCAAATTCCGCTGTTGAAAAAGCTGCAGCCGTCGACCGGGTGAAATCGGATGATTGCAACAAGATAATGCCACCTCGGAGCATCTCCAGAGTTGACCCCGCCCTTAAATCCTGTCCGGTGTTCCCCGGACAGCATTGGATGGGGTTTCCGGCCTCAGCCACCCGGTGGCCAGTGGCAGTCCGGCCGCGATCAGCAAGACCAAGAATGCTATGCCTGAGATACGGTGGACCACCGTGGCGGCGTCGACCCAGATGAACAGCATCGCGACTCCCAGAATGCCTTCAACAACCGCTGCAGCTCTAAGGGACCCTGACATCCTCCACTGAACTGCCGCCATGGCCACCAAAGCGAGGCCGACCAGCGCAAATCCCAGCGCCCCGGCGGCCCAGCGAACAGTGAACAGAGCGTCCTCAGCGCCGCCGACAATCGAGGAACCGGGCGTCAGCGCAACTGTCCGCTGCGCCTCTGATGCCAGCACAGACAATGCGACCGCGGATGCGCCGGAAGCGGCGGATGCGAGTCCTGATGCCACCAGGAGAGCCGCAGCAGCACCCATGGCAACGGGATCGACAGCGCTCATCGAGCGCCAGAGGGCCAAACCGGCAACCAGCAAGGTCAAACCGCCAACCAGCCGTGCCGCGCCTCCGATAGCATAGGCGGTTCGGGATTCTCCAATTGCCGCGAGTTTCTCCGCCATCGCAAGCTGAGCGACTTCCGCCGCGTCCAAGCTTTGCGATTGGGCCAATGCATCCGTAAACGGGGTATCGTCCGCACCGACCATCAGGCGGGCCGGGACGGATATAGCAGTCGCCAGTGCGGTCAGGAGCAGAAAGACCCCGGCGGTGCGGTAGTCGAGTATCAGAACCGCCACGGGAACTTGGGATTAGACAAGGTCATGATCAGATGAGCAGGTTGTAGCCCGCCGGGAGCACCGTCCGGCCGGTGAGGGCGCTGGCGAGGGCGGGGCCGCGGCCTTCGGCGACCGCGACTCCAGCTAGCACCTGCAGGGCGACCTGCATTCCGCTATGCGGGGGCGTTGCCTCGACGCCCAATGCCCGTGCGAAGTCGCCGCCGTGGATGACCAGTTCCATGGTGCGAAGCTGGAGGTAGTCGATTAACCTCATTCCACCCTGGGGCGTGGCAAGTATGAAGTCATCATCCAGGTCGTTGACCCTCTCCTTTGCCATGTTCAGGAATCCGCGCACCATCATCGTCGGGCTGTCCATGATTTCCAGACCAGCTGACCGGCCCAGCTCGGCAACCCGGTCGGGATTCGCGTTCTGCCTGACATTCAGAATCCACTGAGTCGTGGACTCGACGTCCACCTGTAGCGCGGGCTTCTCGGAGTAGCCAACAACGGTGCTGATGGAACGGTAGGTGTGGCCGGCCAAGTCGCGAAGCGTCCACTGGCCCAGCGCGTGCTCTTCCCAGGCGTCAATGTCCACGCCGTCGACCAGCTTGGCGAAGAACTCGGCGGATTCCAAGTATGCTTCCTTGATCTTTTCGCCGAAACTACTTTGGGAACTCACGTGGCCTCCATTCCGATGGCGATTGGGCAGCGCGGAAATTAAGGTTCACCGACCAAGTTCTCCACTTCCAGCGACTTCATCAGGCCGCTTATCTGGCCCCAGGTGTCGTCTTCGACGAAGATACCTTCCTGACGGCGACGCTGCTCGGTGCGGTACTCGATTTCGCCGGGGTAGAGAATCTCGCTGAAGCCGGCAGCAGGGGGCGAGTCCTTGATGAATTCGACAAATTCGCCCATGTCCTTCTTGAACTCGTCCAGCGGACGGAAATGCTCAAGGTTGAAGGCAGCAATGAAACACCCGTCGTTGTGGCGACCCTCGGGGTCGATGCCGAAGCCGAGACCGGTCAGCAGACCGGAGAATACCTCGACCATAAAGGACAAAGCGTAGCCCTTGTGGCCCTGATCGACGCCGACGGGCAAGATGGCGCCGCCGGAGAAGTAGTCGTTGGGGTCGGTGGTCTGGTTGCCGTCGCGGTCTACGATCCAGCCGAGGGGGATGGACTCGCGGCGATTGCGGGCCAGGGCGATCTTGCCGAGGGCAACGGTACTGGAGGCCATGTCCATCAGCACCGGGCCATCGAGATCGCTGGGCATACCTATGCAGATGGGGTTGGTGCCGAGTTTGCGAGCCCGTCCGCCGAAGGGGGCGACGTGCTTGGGGGCCGCGCCGGAGTCAGCGGTGATCATGCCGATCATGCCTTCGGCGGCGGCCATGGTTGGGTAGTCGCCCAAACGTCCGATGTGGCTCTGACTGTGGACGGTGATGGCGGCTACGCCGTGGGTCCGGGCCTTGTCGATAGCCATACGCATTGCCCGTTCGGTGACCACAAAACCGAAACCCCAGTTCCCGTTGATTACGGCGGTACAGGGAGCCTCACGCTCCACCACGAAGGGGGCGCCGGGCACTATGTGGCCCACGTCGATGCGCTCAGCGTAGGTGGGAATCTGTATCACGCCGTGGGAATCGTGGCCGCACAGGTTGGCCTTGACCAAGTGAGCGGCGACCACTTCCGCTTCGGCCTCGGGCGTGCCCTTGGCGCGATAGATGTGGTAGGCCGCTTTGTGCAGGTATTCAGGAGAAAATACGGGCATTTCGTAACCTCTAGCGGTACTTGCTTACGGGAGGTGGGTGAGTCAAGAAAACCGCCATAAGTCTAGCCCCGCCCCCAAGCATTGTCCAGAAAGGACCTTGCGCCGGGAGCGTTGCGATTCAGGTGTTCGAAATGTCTCAGGGTACTGCAATTCTCTTCGGCGTTGCCTCGGGGCGCCGATTTCACCATCCGCGCGCCGTGGTTCCGGACCAGTGCAAAGTCAGGGCTCGCGGTGCCCAGCTGCCAGAGGGGTGTCTCAATGCGGGATGGTACCGGACATGGAACCCCCAGAGAAGTGTGCATTTTCCACGAGCCTGTGTCTCAACACGGGATCTTGCCGTCCGCGCAGGGCGCCCTGGGGGCAGATGTTGTTACAGCGGTTGCCGAGATGAGAATTCCTGAATTCCCACTATTTCCCTCTGTTTTGTATCGGCTTTTTCGGATTCCGCTGGATGGTGCAGTTTTAATTAAACGCCAAAAACGCTAACGAACATTTGTTTGATTATATGGGAGCTGAACCTGTTTTGGAAGGTGCGAGTGTCAGAAGACAGTGGTCCTAATCGGTTGGTCGAGTTACACGTCCAGTCAGCTAGCACTGGACCTGGCCTTCCGCCATCGCGGGTATGACGGCAGCACCGGCGTCATACCACCTCCTTCTTTTAAACGTTGTGATGTCAGAATAAGACCATTCCGACTCAGGCGGCCGAGTAATTTATCAGACCGGCAGGTAAACTCCGGGATCCCGAGAGGGCGGAGACCCGGGGTTTTTGGTGGTAGAGATCTGCCTTGAAGATTGGCATGGGTCCTCTGACAGCAGCGGAAAGACGTGGGAACTTGATGCAGGGTGTGCAGAGGCCGCGTAGGGGTGCGATAGGAGAGGTCGGGGTGAAATGCGTGGGTCTGAACTCCCAGCAGGACAAGCTAGCGAAGTTGCCGGATTTCGAGCAGTTCAAATATTGACGCAAGAACGAGGCTTCCGAAGAGTGTCGCTCCTTGACCTGATAGTGGGCGGTTTCTATAATTTCATATCAGGATAATTACGGGCGCTCCGCGATCCGGCAGCCCGGTGCAGGTACGAGAAGCGATTGGTCCAAGCTAATCCCCAGAACATTGAAGACCTGACCGGCGCGGCCCTAGCCGAACTTTCGGCGTTGAATAGCCTGGAGGCACTGGAGCAGTGGCGCATTGCCTACCTTGGCAGGCGCGGCAGTCTTACCTTGGTGCTGCGCGGGCTTTCCGGTCTTGACATCGAGGAGCGCCGTCGCATTGGCGCCCTGGCGAACCAGGCCAAGGAATCGCTGGAGAGCGGTCTGGAGGGGCGCACGCGGGAGATCAACGAGGCGGCGCTATTGAGGGCCGCGCAGGAAGATCGTCTGGACGTTACTCTTCCGGGAAGGCTGCTCTCAGAGGGAAGGCTTCATCCCACGACCCAGATTGTCCGAGAGATCTGCGCAGCGTTCGTGGGCATGGGCTTCAGCGTCGTTGAGGGACCTGAAGTTGAATGGGATCATTACAACTTCGAGATGCTCAACATTCCCAAGGGACACCCCGCGCGGGATATGTGGAACACCCTGTGGGTGGACTACACCAACGAAGCCGGGGAGCACCCCATGCTGCTCAGAACGCATACCTCGCCCATGCAGGCGCGGGTTATGGAAAAACCAGCGGCCGCCGGTGCGAGTGATAGTGCCGGGCAAGTGCTATCGATACGAGGCTACAGACGCGACCCACGAATGGCACTTTTACCAAGTGGAAGGCCTTGCGGTGGACGAGGGAATCACCTTCGCCAACCTGAAAGGAACCCTCTACGAGTTCGCCCGCAGGCTGTTCGGAGAGGAACGGCAGATACGCTTCCGGTGCGACTACTTCCCGTTTGTGGAACCGGGCGTGGACATGTCCATCGACTGTTTCGCCTGCGACGGTCACCGGGAGGGCTGCCGCATCTGCCGAGACAGCGGGTGGATCGAGATAATGGGAGCCGGCATGGTGCACCCCCGAGTGCTGGCCGGCGTTGGCTATGACCCGGACAAGTACACCGGCTTTGCCTTCGGCATGGGCCCAGAGCGCATAGCCATGCTTAAATACGGCATCGATGACATCCGTCACTTCTACGCAAACGATCTGAGGTTCCTACGGCAGTTCTAAGGCGCGGCGATCAATAACTCAATGACAGGGTCTGAATGAAAGTACCCCTAAGCTGGCTCCGGCAATACGTGGACGTCAATATTGCTGCTTCTGAACTGGCCCACCGACTGACGATGGCCGGTGTGGAAGTAGGAGAGGTCGAGGAGACGGGCGGCTGGAGCGAGGTGTACGTTGGGAGCGTAACCAGCGTCCGACCACACCCAAATGCCGACCGGCTCAGACTGTGCACCATTACAACGGGCACAGATGCGATGGAGGTGGTCTGCGGGGCCCCCAACGTTGCCGAGGGACAAAAGATCTGCTTTGCCCCGCGTGGGGGCATACCTGTACAACGCCCACAGCCGGAGGCAGGAAACCCTGGCGGCTGCGAGCATACGCGGGGTTGAGTCGCAGGGGATGATCTGCTCTGAGCTGGAGCTGGGGCTTGGCGAAGACCACACCGGGATCATAGTCCTACCGGAGGATGCCCCGCTGGGGGAGCCCCTGTCAGACTACCTAGGAGACACGATACTTGACCTCGAGCTGACTCCCAACCGACTGGACTGCCTTTCGATGCTTGGTGTGGCACATGAGGTCGCGGCTCTCACTGGAGGCAAAGTCAGGGAACCGGAAATCCAGTATGCGGAAAGCGGCCCCCCCGTAGGTGAACGGGTCAGCATATCCATCGCACATCCCGACCTGTGCCATCGCTATACGGCCACTGTCATTGATGGTGTTCGCATCGGCCCTTCGCCGCAGTGGCTGCAGGACAGGCTGACTCGCGCCGGACTGAGGCCCATCAGTAATGTGGTGGACGTCACCAACTTCGTGATGCTGGAATACAACCAGCCCCTCCACGCCTTTGATCTCGACACTGTCAAGGAAGCCACGGTGATCGTGCGGCGCGCCGGGCCAGGCGAAAAACTAACCACCCTCGACGGAGTGGATCGCGACCTGACCACCGATAACCTGGTGATAGCCGACGCCAATGACCCCATCGGATTGGGTGGAGTAATTGGAGGAGCCAACAGCGAGATCGGCTCGTATACCAGCACGGTGCTGTTGGAGTCGGCCAACTTCAACGCCTCCAACAACAGAGAAACGGCCACTTCAATGGGACTGCGCACAGAGGCCACGCTGCGCTTCGAAAAGGGGTTGCGTCCAGAGTTGGCGCCCATGGCCCTGCGTCGCGCCACCGCGCTGATCCAGGAAGTAGCCGGAGGAACTGTTGCGCCCGGCTTCATAGACGTTTATCCCGAGCCGCCGGATTCGCCTCCAACAGTCACTCTGACTACAAGAAGGCTGAAGCAGTCCCTGGGAATGGATGTCGGATTGGAACAGGCTCAGTCAGCACTTGACTTGCTGGGTTTCGCCTGCACCACGACTCCAGACTCGCTGGTGGTGACTATTCCTTGGTGGCGTAACGATGTGAACATCGAAGACGACCTGGTGGAAGAGGTAATCCGGGTCATTGGATACGATGCGGTTCCGACCGTGATGCTTTCCACCCCCATCCCATTTCACAGCCGTACCCAGGCAATTACGCTCCGCGATGACATCAAAGACCTGCTGGTCGCCGGAGGAATGCAGGAAATCATCAACTATCCACTGGCCTCCTCCGAATTGTTGGAACGTATCGGACTAAACGATTCAGCGGCCCCAGCGATGCGCATTGCTAACCCAATGAGCTCGACCCACGAGTTCCTGCGACCGACCCTGCAGGCCGGGCTGCTAACAATACTGGCTGCCAACCAGTCGAACGGAACGGGTCCCTTCCGTCTGTTCGAGGCTGGACGCGTCTTTCTGCCCAGGAGCGGCGATCTTCCTGACGAAGCGGAGACCGTGGCAGGAGTACTGGCCGGCCGACGGGGCGGCGTGTCGTGGCTCGCGGACCCCGGCAGCGACGGCGATATGGACTTCTACGATGCCAAAGGTATTGTCGAGTTGCTGCTGGACCGGTGGGACATTGGCGCTTCGTGGGAACTGGGCGAACATCCGGTGTATCAGCCCGGCCGGTGCGCGGTTGTGAAGTCTGGCAGCACTGTGCTGGGATACGTTGGGGAGATTCATCCCTCGATCAAAGAGAGATTCGACCTGAATTCCGGGGGCGTGGCAGGCTTCGAATTAGACCTGCGGGCCCTGCTGAGTGCCCTGCCTGAGTCAGAGCGGCGGTTTGAATCGCTGCCCCGTTTCCCGGTGGCAACCAGAGACCTGGCACTGGTCCTGCCGGTGGATGTACCCGCGGGACGTGTTACCGAGTTGATCCTGCGCAACAGGCTGATACAGAGGGCGGAGCTGTTCGACATTTATTCAGGGGACAACCTGGCGCCGGGAACCAAGTCGCTGGCCTTTCACGTCCATCTGCAGGCCGCGGATCGCACTTTGACCAACGAAGAGGTCGACAAGTCTGTGGACGGACTTCTCAGAAACCTGGAGCGGGAGGTTGGTGCCACTCTAAGGAGTCAGGGGTGAGGGGATCCAACTGCGCGGAATTGCGGAGCGGTGCGATACCTTACGCCTAAAAACTACCCTACACTCGTTTCCCCACTCCTGATCCGGGAGGGACACCATGGCAACACGACACCGCCACCAACACGGCAATCACGACGAGGCACCCCATCATCATGGGCACAGCCACGCCGGGGAAGACATGCTCAGCGTCGAGGAGGCCTACGAGCGGGTGATGGCCAGCTTCGCGCCGCTGGAGGCGCTGGAATTGCCGCTGCTTGAATGCCTGGGGCAGACGCTGGCCGAGGGACATCACTTCCCCACTTGCTTTGCCACCGCTGGCCAACTCCGGAATGGACGGATATGCCCTGAAAGGAGCGGACATCGCGGGTGCGTCTGCGGACTCGCCTCGACGCCTCCCTGTGATCGGCATAGTCGCGGCAGGACAACTGCCGGAAAGGGCTGTCGAGTCTGGCACGGCCATGCGAATTATGACCGGCGCACCTGTTCCCGACGGCGCCGACACGGTCGTACCTTTCGAAGAAACGGACGAGGTGAAAAGAAAGCAAGAGGGCCGGCCGCTGGACGAGGTGGCCGTCTTCTCTGAAATGGCGGTCGGGTCGAATGTACGACCGGCTGGGGAGGACATCCGGCAGGGCGAACTAGTGCTGGAAGCAGGAACCGTTGTGCGAGCGGCCGAGGTGGGTGTCCTTGCATCGTTGGGACTGGATCGGGTGAGGGTCGTACGCAGGCCTGTCGTGTCGGTGCTGGCGACGGGAGATGAACTGGAATCCGCCGGGGCGGCCCTGTCAGGCGGAAAGATCTACGACAGCAATAGCTTCAGCGTCGCCGCCTCAGTGGTCGCCAGCGGAGGGATACCCAGGCTGCTGGGAATCGCCCGCGATAACCTGGACGATCTCAATGCCAAGCTGGCTGCAACTGCCGGTTCCGATCTGGTGATCACCTCAGCGGGAGTGTCCAAGGGTGACTACGACATCGTTAAGGACGTGCTTGAGCAGCGGGGGAAGATGAATTTCTGGTCGGTTCGCATGCGGCCGGCGAAGCCACTGGCCTTCGGGCACCTTCGGGATGACGGCGGCAGGGACGTGCCGCTGCTGGGCTTGCCCGGTAACCCGGTCAGCGCGATGGTGGCGTTCGAGATGTTTGCCCGGCCAGCGATCCGCTGTATGCTGGGACGTCCGGTGCGTCCCCGCCCATCGGTGGACGGAGTGCTGACCGGCCCGATCCGCAACTACGACGGCCGCCGCGTTTACGCGCGCGTCGAGGTTGAGAAGCGCGATGGAGTCTATTACGCGACTCCCACCGGTCCGCAGGGTTCTAATATTCTGACGTCGATGTCACGGGCAAACGGGCTGGCGATATGCCCCGAAGACCTGACGGCCAAACAGGCGGGCGAGCAGGTGCGCATTATCATGCTGGACTGGAATGAAGAGGTGGATCTATGACCATCGCCGGGCTGGAGACTGGGGGATCACAAGATGACAGGGATCAAGGTAGCGGACTTTATCATGTCAGCCTGGCCCGGCTGAAGCAGCTGAACCGATCCGCAGTTCATCTCATTGCGAGCCGCCTCACAGAGGATTGTCCATCATTCGAGAAACCGATTCATGAATTGAACGTGGGGGATCTCATACGCGAGATCAGAGATTTCCACGGTGAGTCGAACGACTTCATCCGGTACGACATGCCCATCAAGGAGATCGTATTTCGGACGTTCCTTATCCGTGGGAACGAACCGATTGCGCTAACCGATCTACACCACGAGTTGACCGGACGCTGGAGCAACGCCCTCCGACCGATTTCCATTGAGGAGTCGCTGCTGCGCCGGGTATTGGAGACGGACGTTTACTACGGATTTGCTGAAGTGTAGCCGGAAAGACAGAACGGGAACGCAAAAAGCCGCCGGGCATCAATCGTGCCCGGCGCTTCTATTGCAGAGAAGGAAGATTCGCGGGAAGGGCTACGCTGTCGCTGCGGCGAGCTCGCCCCGCGCCGTTTCTATCAACTGTGAGAATCCTTCCGGGTCCCGCACGGCCATGTCAGCCAGAATCTTGCGATCCAGTTCTATCTCCGCCAGCTTCAGACCATGTATGAACTGGTTGTATGGCATGCCAGCGGCCCGGCAGGCAGCACTGATTCGCACGATCCAAAGGCTGCGAAACTCGCCCTTGCGCTCCCGGCGGTGCCGGTAGGCGTAGGACCAAGCGTGCATAACGGACTCTTTGGCCCATTTGTAGTTGCGATGGGAAGAGCCCTGAAAGCCCTTGGCCGCATCAAGTATCTTCTTGTGTCGACGGCGCTTGGTGACGCCGCGCTTTATTCTTGCCACAGAACGGTCTCCGTAGTAGGCGCTTGCCAGCTAGCCGTAGGGAATCAGCCGCTTGAGACGGGGAACGTCAGCGGCATCAACCACCAATTTATCGGAATACTTTCGGGTCACCTTTGTGGGCTTCTTCCGCCGCAGGTGGCTGCTCATGCGCTTTCGACGGAGCAGCTTTCCCGATCCGGTAACGTGTATGCGAGCTTTGGCGCCTTTATGTGTCTTAAGTTTTGGCATCGGCCAGTTCTTCTACCTGTTCCGGCTGACTGTCGCCGGAGTCGTTATTTCCTGGTTTGTCACCCTGGTTCCTGTTGGACGGGGCTCGCTGCAATTTCTGTTCTTCGCCCTTCTGGAGGGAAGGTATGAGAACCATTGAGAGAGAACGCCCCTCCATGGCAGGCGCACGCTCCAGCCGTACCTCGTCCTTCAACTCATCTGCCACCCGGCGCAAAACGGCGAGACCCAACTGCTGATGCGCGGCTTCGCGTCCCCGGAAGCGCACGGTGAGCTTCACCTTGGAGCCGTCATCGATGAATTCCCGCACCTTGCGGAGCTTGGCGTTAAGGTCGTGAATCCCGATATTGGGACGGAAGCGCACTTCCTTCTGCTCGGTACTCTTCTGACCTTTCTTGGACTCCTTCTCTTTCTTGGAGGACAGATAAAGGAGCTTGCCGTAGTCCAGCAGTCGGCACACAGGCGGGTCGGAATTGGGCGCAACCTCCACCAGATCCACTTCAGCGTCCCGAGCCATCTGGAGGGCACGCCGAGTGTCCATCACCCCCAACTGCGAACCGTCGCCTCCGATAACCCGGACTTGAGGGCTGGTAATACGTTCGTTGACCCTATACTGTCTGGCTATGCTGGCTTACCTCCAATGTATTATGCCCCACACTTTCCAGATGGGCATATCCCAAGCTACCACACGCACGCACCCCAGTCAACGAAGTCGCCGGCCATCGGGCGTGGATTTCCCCACCAAAGAACTCCTCTTTTCCCATTTGGAGAAAAGCAGGGAATACTGCAAGCATTGATTGAAGCGCATGCCCAAATGCAGCACGAATAGTGTTCTATCGCCCATCAATTACGCGCCCATCAACTACGAGGGCAGTAGTTACTCATCGTCGGGGTCGTCGTCGTGATCCGGCAATGGTCCCAGGTCACTGCCAAAGTCAAGGCCCTGCAGGAACTCCTCAATCTGGGGCGAGAGAGGCGTCACTGGTCCGGCGTCGGGCGAGGATGGGGCGTTCTCGCGGTCGTAGCGCTCTTCGAGACGCTCGAGCAGCTTGGATACTTCGGAGGTGTCGGAGACGATGTTCTGCAGCGAGGAATACTGTTGGACCCCCCGCTCCCTATCTTCGAGGCGACTGGGCAGGCCATAGATCCGACAAAGGATACCAGTAAGCCGCGCAATGCCCGTGAAGTCTTCCTCCACCTGGAAGTACTGCGGCAGATGCACCACGAAGATTCGGGTGTCGATGTTCGAGGCCTCGGCGTGCTGGAAAATGACCTGGGTGATTGTGGTCGGTCCTTCGTAATCGCTGGGCTTTACCTCCACCAGCCGGTATTCGGCCTCATTGGTGGCATCGACGGAACCGCCTGAAACGAGGAGAGGGCGTGTGTGAGGAACCATGTCGTACATTGCGCCGATCATCGAGTAGCGCTTGACGCCCAGCTTATCGAGCATTTCGATAACGGAGTCGGTGAAATCCTCGCCGTAAGCGTGAGGCTCTAGCAGATGGAGAGTCACCAGATCCGGCCCATTCTCCCGTACGGCCACCTTGACGGTGGTGGACGGGATTGTGTATTCCCGCTTTCCCCGGCGAATCGCCGTCTTGGGGCGGTAGCGAGTGAAGTCGTAGTAGCGACCAGGGCGAACCAGCCGTCCGATCTCTTTGGCGCCCAGATACCTTTCGATGCGGCGCAAGCTGAGAGTTCCCACACGGCCAACGTCAATCCACGGTCTAAGGACCGCCAGAACATGGGGATCCTTCAACTCTGGCAGGGGTTCGTCGAGCTCGAAATCTCCGATTCGCATTAAGTTAGTTTGCCAGCGCCAGCAAATGTTGGCAAGAGGCGCACTTTCGGTGCAGGGCAATCGCGTCAAATTTCTCAGCACACAAAATTGGTCTGAATGGCGGTGGAGATGGGAGTGGCGGTTCCTCCTTCAGTTCCTGGTGCGAGGGTAGACGGGGGTTTGGATTCCCGCAGGCGCGGGAATGGCGACTTATAGGGCCTCCAGCGTTTAACCCGCGATTGCCGTTGCGATGCAGGGCTGTCGCCTCTGGCTGGAGAGATTCCGCGGCTGCGCAGGAATCGAGTACGGCTATCCGAGAGCGTCGGGCTTGCGGAGGGCAATTCGATGTCTCCACGGGACAGAATTTTCCCACCGCTGTCCCATTTTGTCCCAAATTCGCGCTCCCCCGTAGCTGAAGTTTCCCCAAATTGGCCAAAAATCGCGATTCCCGCCCCATATTGTCCCATTCTGTCCCACCCGGTCTTTTCCCACTGTCTTTGGAGCACATACGGGCAGGGCCTTCGTCCAAAAACCACCTCTGCTCCAAGTCTTGCGAACGCTATTTTCGAACATATATACGGAATAATAATACAACAGCGCCGTAGAGGCTGGCAAGGGAGAAGACTCACTCGCAGGGCAATCGCGTCTTATTTGTCAGCACACAAAATTGGTCTAATTTCGGTAGATATGGGAGAGGGAGTGGCAGTGCCTCCTTCGGTTCCGGGTGCGAGGGTAGACGGGGGTTTGGATTCCCGCCCCCGCTTCCGCGAGGGTGACGTTCTTTGGCGGGAATGACGACTTATTGGGCCTCCTGCGTTTAAGACGCGATTGCCCTGCTCTCGGTGGGAGGCGTTTGCTTACAAATAGTCGATCCTCAGAAAAAATCTAATCCCCGACCGTCCGCAGCCAATTTCTGCCACCTGCGACCGACGGCTAAAGGCGGGCGCGTGTTCCAGGAATTGGATATTTTGTCGATTGGTTCACTTGGTAACCCGCACTACTGTTATATGGACTCCCAACTATATGGACTCCCAACAATGGCAATCAATGCTTGCTGTAGTTCGCAAGAGGCTTGGGGTCATAGATTCCTACCCAAGCCTCTGCCAGGACATGCCTTAGTGGGTGTAGCGGGATGGCTAGCGCAGGGGAGCAAATCTCCTCAATGGGAACGCTGCTACTCTCCCTCGTGGGCATTAAAACGTAACTGAGGTTGATGAGACATCCGGCGTTGCGATAACATTCAGGCCCGTTTATGGTGTATCTGGATTCAGAGTCTCAAAGGTGCTAACAGGCAAGTGCAGTTGGAGTGCGGGGTGTCAGTACACGAAAGATGGTACGTCCGCTAGCGATGCTGCAACTGCTGCTGTTATGGGGCCTGCTGACCACCTTCGGTTGCGTGGCATCACAGTCTGCAACCGAGACCACTCCTCCCAATGGGGCTCCGGAGAGCGCGGTTGTGCATATCGGCAACGCCTCATACACGGTGGATCTAGCCGTATTGCCCGATGAGCGGCAGCAGGGACTGTCTGGGCGTGAACACATGGCCCAAGACGAGGGGATGCTGTTCGTGTTCGAGGAGGAGCGGCAACTCTATTTCTGGATGAAGGAAATGAGATTTCCGCTGGACATCATCTGGATTGATAGCCAGTGCCGCCTGCTTGAGGTTGCGGCGGAGGTACCGATGCCGCCGCCCAATGCCAGCAACGAGGAGATTCCCAGGGCGCAGTCGCCGTCTCCGGCTCGGTACGTACTTGAGGTGCATGCGGGAGAGGCAGCGCGCAATGGCCTGCAGCCGGGCGATCCAGTCGAGTTCCGAGGTGCCATCGAAGGAAAGCATGGCTGCTGAGGGCGGGCGGCCAATTACCGATAGAGGACAGTGAACAAACATGGACATTCTGGTATCAGGGTCGATGGCCTACGACCGCATAATGAAGTTCGGGGGCCGTTTCAGAGACCACATCCTGGCAGACCAACTGGACAACATCAATATAAGCTTCGGCGTGGACAGTCTCACAGAGCACATTGGCGGCACGGCGGGAAATATCGCCTACTCGCTGTCGTTGCTGGGGGAGAAGCCCAGAATCCTGGCGTCCATGGGCAGGGACTATCACCGGTATTTCGCATGGCTGATGACCTGCGGCATAGGCACGGATGACATCCGCGTGGTAGACGACGAGTTGACGGCAGGCGCCTACATCACTACCGACATAGACTCCAACCAGTTCACAGGGTTCAATCCTGGGGCGATGAAACACCAGGCGGGCTTCAGCTACGAAGGGATCACGGCGTCCGACACAATCGCCATCGTGGGGCCGGGCAACCTGGAAGACATGATGGAGTTCACTGCAAAGAACCATGAACTGGGGATCTACGGCATCTTCGATCCGGGGCAATCGCTGCCGATCTGGGAGGCAGAGTCTCTGTCGCGCTGTATCGGTCAGTCCGGAGTGCTCATCTGCAACGAATACGAGCTGGGCATGATCTCCAACAGTACCGGCCTATCCACGGGAGACCTTGCCGGGATGGTAGAGCACCTGGTGGTCACTCTGGGAGCGGAAGGCGCGGAGTTCCGGTCGAATGGAGCAACAGAGAGGGTACCTGTGGTGCCCACAGACTCGGCGATCGATCCAACGGGAGCAGGAGACGCGTTCCGGGGTGGGCTGATCAAGGGCCTGGCCAGCGGCGTTGGCATCAAGCGAGCGGTGCAGATGGGCGCAGTGTGCGGCTACTACGCAGTACAAGTGGAAGGCACCCAGAACTACCGCTACTCCTTTGAAGAGTTTGAGTCGAAGTTGCGAGAGGCCTTCAGGGAGTAGCCGGCTGGACCAAGCCGTCCCGTTTTGCCCGATACCTCATCGTCTTCACACGAGTCTCCAAAGGTCGTTGCTGGGCGCCACGGCTTTCGCTACAATCTGCGGGGCGGTTCGCGGACCGCCTGCCACTGCCGAGGATTGAGACGTTCCAATGACCTCTGATGCCACCTTCCCTCCGCCGATGCCGCACGGGCCGCTGGACGGCGTAAAGGTCCTTGACCTGAGCGAGGACATCGCCGGGTCCTTTCTGCGCCCGCTGCTGGCCGACTATGGGGCAGAGGTGCTCAAGCTGGAGCCACCCGCCGGGGCGGCACTGCGACGGATGCCGCCCGTTCTTCGGGGACGACCCGCACCCAGAGAAGAGCCTGTTCTTCCTCGCGATGAACCTGAACAAGAAGGGTGCGACGATCAACCTGAAGACCGGGCCGGGCAGGGCGCTGTTCCGGGAGCTGATCCCGCACGTGGATGTGGTGGTGGAGAGCTACAGGCCGGGGTACTTGGCGGACCTGGGGCTGGGATACGAGGCACTGGAGACGATCAATCCGGGGCTGGTGCTGACCTCGATCACGCCGTTCGGGCAGACGGGGACCGTACAGCCAGTACGCGGGAGAGGAGATCGTCAACTATGCCATGGGGCTGATCATGAGCATCAGCGGGCGGCAGGACCGCGAGCCGCTGAAGCACGGGGGGTTCCAGGCGCAATACGAGGGCGGGCTGAACGGCGCGGCGGCGACGGCGATGGCGCTGTTCATGCAGGGCAACACCGGCGAGGGGCAGCACATCGACGTGTCGATCACCGAGTGCGTGGCCTCGACCATGATGGCGACGCAGACGATGTATCCGTTCATCGGAGCGACGCAGCCGCGACGTCGACCATCGGGGAGCAACTTCGGGCATCCGATGGCCTGCGAGGACGGGTGGATCATCGTGCAGACCGGCGGCGGGGCTACGTGGGAGACCATCGCCAACTTCTTCCGGGACCCGAGGCTGCACGAGGAGCGGTTCACCGACACCGCCGAGCGGAACCGGAACGGGGAGGAGTTGGACCGCATTGTGCTGGAGTCGATCAGCGAGCGAGGCAAGTGGGAGCTGTTCACCGAGGCGGCCAACTCACGGATGCTGTTCGGGCTGGTGCAGACGCCTTCCGAGCTGGCGGAGTGCCCGCAGCTGGAGTCGCGGGACTTCTACCGCGAGGTAGACCATCCGGTTATAGGCAAGATCAGGGTGCCGGCGGCGTTGTTCAACCTGTCATTGACGCCGTACCAGTACCTGATGCCGGCGCCCACGCTGGGGCAGCACAACCGGGAGATCTACGTTGATGGACTGGGATACACGATGAAGGATCTGTCGGTACTGCGGCAGACGGACTCGATCTGATGGCCAAGGTTAGCGGCAAGCTGCCCCTGGAAGGGATACGGGTGCTGGACTCGACGTACGTGTTCGCGCTGCCGTACGCGGGCGGGCTGCTGGCGGACATGGGCGCTGAGGTCATCAAGGTCGAAGGGCCGGGGCGTCCGGACGTCACGCGGACGGGCGGGTACTCGGGGGTGTTCGCGGAGAACGAGATAGGCGAGGACTGGTGGAACCGTCCATCGACTTACAACCTGATCCACCGGGGCAAGCAGTCGATCACGCTGGACATGACCGACGAGCGGGGCCGGGAGCTCTTCAAGGAGCTGGTGACGGTCTCCGACGTGGTGATGGAGAACTTCACGCCTCGGGTTATGCGGAGCTGGGGTCTTGACTACCCGAACCTGCGCAAGCTGCGGCCGGACGTGATACTGGTGTCGAACACGGGCTACGGGCACGGCGGCGGGCCGTACTCGGGGTACCCGGCGCAGGCGACTACGCAGGAAGCTACCCACGGGCACTGCTGGGTCACCGGCTACCCGGGCGAGGGGCCGGCCAAGGCCGGGGCCTCGTTCGTGGACTTCCTGTCAACCTGGACGGCGCTGTTCGCCATCGGGGCGGCGCTGCGATACCGGGCCAAGACCGGGCTGGGTCAGTGGGTGGACATGGGTATGTACCAGGCAGGGGTGATGTTCCTGTCGGAGTACATCCTGGACGCCACGGCCAACGGGCGCGAGGGCGAGCGCATCGGAAACCGGCACCCGTGGCGGGCGCCCCAGGGCTGCTACCCGGCGGCGGGCGACGACCAGTGGATCACGCTTTCGGTGGGCGACGACTCTCAGTGGCAGGCCTTCTGCCGGGTGATGGGGCAGCCGGAGCTGGCCTCGGACCCGCGGTTCAACACCGTTGGCGGGCGCCGGTCGAACCATGACGCGCTGGACGAGATCATTGCGACGTGGACTTCGGGGCGGGACCGGTACGACACGATGCATGCGCTACAGGCGGAGGGCATCCCGTCAGGGCCGGTGCTGACGGGGCGGGACATCCACTACGACCCACACTTCAAGAGCCGGAACTTCCTGGAGCGGGCGCAGTACCCCCCGGAGCGCAAGCTGGGCGAGCGGCTGTTCCTGAGCCGTCCTTACAAATTCTCCAAGAGTCCGCTGCACATCCAGGGTCCGTCGCCGGCCTTTCGGGGAGCACAACGGGCCGGCCCTCAAGGAGCTGCTGGGCGTCTCCGAGGAGACCTACCAGCAACTGGTGGAGGACGTGGTGATCACCACGGTGCCGACTTCGGGGGAGCCGTCGCCGGTTACACCGCAGTCGGAGGCGCTGGCTCGGGGGATCATCGCGGCGTGGGACCCGGACTACCGCGAGCGGCTGGGGCTGGGGGAGTAGGACGATGATCGTCAGCACCACCGAGAGCGTGCCTGGGCGCTAGGTTGCCGAGATCCTGGGGGTCGTTACCGGGGACATCGTGCAGGCTCGGAACATAGGCCGGGACATCCAGGCTGGTCTGCGTAGCGTGGTCGGCGGGAAGGTGGGCGTCTACTCCGAGATGCTGGCCGAGGCCCGGGCCGAGGCTACGCGGCTGATGATCGACGAAGCCGGTGGACTGAACGCCGACGCCGTGGTGAACGTGCGCTACACCACCAGCGCCATCAGCCAGGGCATGTCGGCAGGGCAATCGCGTCTTATTACTCAGCACACAAGATTGGTCTGAATGGCGGGGGAGATGGGAGTGGCAGTGCCTCCTTCGGTTCCGGATGCGAGGGTAGACGGGGGTTTGGATTCCCGCTTTCGCGGGAATGACGACTAATAGGGCCTCCAGCGTTTAAGACGCGATTGCCCTGGGAGTGTCGGAGATCCTGGCCTACGGGACGGCGGTCAAGCCGCGTTAGGGCAGCGGCGGGAGCCTTTCGGGGCCTACTCAGGCGGCGGCCGAAAAACTTTTGTTTTTCCGCTCATTTCCGAGCATTTCCGAGCATTTCCGCTCATTCTTGACTGCTGCCGAAGGGTTGGTGCGCGATCGAGAGGGTGACGATGCCTCCGAGATTGCAGCAGGGTCGGCCGCAAAATTTTTTTGTTTTTCCGCTCATTTCCGCGCATTTCCGAGCATTTCCGCTCATTCTTGACTGCTGCCGAGGAGCTACTGCGCTTTCGAGATGGCGAAGACGCCCCGCACCGGATGTCGGCGACGGCCGCGATTTTATATTTTCCCGGTCATTCCCGGACAATTGCGGACTTTTAGCCCAGTGCAGAGGCGACAATATCTTTCCAAGAGTGTCCAATTCGTCCAATTCCCTCCCGGAGTTCGCGTGGATGCCGGGCAAGCGGTTTGTCGAGCCCACTGGCCCTGGGCGGCCCTCCCGACAGTGGCAAGACGCATTTGATAGTTCATTTGTTCGTATGGCTTAATAAAAGGGTAACGTCGGAGAGGGGGCGGCGTCAACCGGGAGGTGTCAGCAGTTGTCCGGACCGTGGTTTGCCTGATCGAGGAATGGCCGTGATCCTGGTGTCGCGAATGGGGGATGGGCGATGGCAGGCGGGGCGCCTGGAGGCGAGGCGCGAGGTTTCTTGACGCCGTAGAATATGAGGGCATAATCTAATTGTGAGGGCCCGTAGCTCAGTGGTAGAGCAGTCGGCTCATAACCGACTGGTGGCTGGTTCGATCCCAGCCGGGCCCACTTCCCACCCTCATTTTTCCAAGCGAACGATGCTTACCGGAGGGGGACCGCCATGCCTTTGCAGCTAGATCACACAATCGTGCCGGCCTACGACAAGGTGAAGTCGGCGGAGTTCATCGCCCGGCTGTTCGGGCTGAAGTACGAGGGGCCCTGGGGGCACTTCGCGCCGGTCAAGGTCAACGACATACTGACGCTAGACTTCGACGACTCGGACAACCCGCGCTCCAATCACTACGCCTTCCTGGCCTCGGACGAGGAGTTCGACGGGGTCCTGCAGCGGGTGAAGGACGAGGGAGTCGTCTACGGGAGCGGGCCGCGGTCGCGGACGGACGGGGAGATCAACTACAACCACGGGGGACGCGGGTTCTACTTCGAGTGCGAGAACGGGCATGTGTGGGAGGTTATTACGCACACGTATGTGTGAGGGGGTGACTGGGGTTGGGGCGTTGTTGTTAGGGGGTGTTAGGTGATAGATTCTCATCGCGCCGTTGTTGATTTGGCAGAGGGGAGTACGGGATGGTGTGGGCTGAAAGGCGAATATGTAGTAGGGCAGACGACGTTTCGCCGATGCCAAGGTTGAGCTATTATTTCGGACTCAGTTGACCGCAGAGACTAACGATTCTGGAGCTTATGCTTTCATGAGCACGAGATACCCTGACGCTCACGTAATGGCTGAAGGTTACTTTTCCGAGGCTTGGCGGCTTCTTGGAGAAGGTTTGGGCCATTTGTTTTCAAGAGAACCGGCGATCAAGCGTTACGCGGAACGCGGGACGTCTATGACATTCTTCGTAAAATGGTTTCAAGCGGCACCTGGGACAGATGTTTCACAGAGCTTGGCCACAGCGAACGAAATTGGGCGTGGGATCTTTATAGGGTTAGGAACGATTCATGGGCGCATCAGGGCACTTACAGCGACGACGACATTCATCACTACGTCGGAGTGATGTTGCGCCTTCTCAGAGCAATCGAGGCAAATGAGCAAGTAGACGAGCTAGGGAAGTTGCACGTAGCAATTGGTCGCTTAATCTATGGGCAGCCGTTAAACACAAATGCCGACAACCCAAATCAAATAATTCTATCTCTGCCAGAGGGTATGGGTGGCGACGATGTGGCTGACATCTTGCGTAGAACCATCCCTTTAGTTTCACCAGAGGAGATTGCGTCCTCCGACGAAGGTACCGTTACTCCTTCTAACTCGGACCTAGATGAGTTGGACGAGCCAGCCGACCTAGACGGATATATCCGTCGTGGCCAAAGATTTTTTAGGGAAAGCAACTACGAAGAAGCAATTGCAACTCTTACAGTCGCGATTGAACTTTATCCCGCCGAGCCAAGAGGATATCACGCTCGTGGAAGCGTTTTATTGGAAGCGTTTATGCTAGGCAGATGGCCGCGTGTTTCATTCATCTTCACCAAGCAAGTCTGATTTAAAACACAAAGCAATCGTGACTTGACTCCTAGCAGTATAAGAACTAAGATCGCACTCGCCGGGGTCTATGCTCGGAAGGGCAGGCGGCGATCACGACACTGCTCTAGTTTATCTCAACGAAGCAATTGAGTTTGAAACACAAAATGCACTTGCTTATCGGATCCGCGGGCGAACCCTCATGGACAAAGGCGAGTACAACCTCGCGATTTCGGACTTCTGCGAGGCCATCCGTTTGGAACCGGACAATATACACTCATATCACCATCGGGGACGGGCTTACATCGCAAATGGCGATCAAGGCTTAGCGATCGAAGATTTTAGTAAGGCTATCGAACTTGACCCTGACGATGTATATTCATACAAAGTTCGTGGATCAGTTCATAGTCGACAAGGGAACTATGACAGGGCGATAGAGGACTTTAATAGGGCTCTCCTTCTCAATCCCGAGGATGCGAATATTTACAGCGCTAGAGGGAATGTATATGCCGAACAAGGCACTTACGATCTTGCGATTGCTGACTATAGCAGAGTCATTGAATTCGCTCCTGAAGATGAACACGCCTATCATATTAGAGGTCAAGTCTATACTAGGATTGGTCAGTATGATTTGGCAATCGCAGATTGCACAAAATCCATCGAAATCAATTCCGAAGACGTCCATGCTTATCGCGTACGAGGCGCTGCATATTTCCACAAATACGAATACCAATTAGCGATTGAGGATTACAGTAAAATCATAGAACTTTCCCCAAAGTACGAATTCATATACTTCTTGCGAGCCGATGCCTTCCTCCACAACGGCGATTATGACTCAGCCCTTGCAGATTGCGCTACATATATCCAGGGGAATCCCAGCCATTCTAACATATACTGCATTCGAGGCATGGTGTATGCGGGGAAAGACGAGTACGGCCTTGCAATTGACAACTATAGTATAGCCATTGAACTAGCAGGCAACAATGCAGTGGCCTACTATTCACGGGGAGATATGTGGGCCATAGTTGAGGAATATGACCTAGCAATATCAGACTACGATCTGGCTATAAACCTTGGAATGGACGTCGCTTCCATATATAACAACAGGGGTATATCAAGGGTGGACAAAAAGGATTACGACACTGCTATTGCCGATTTTGAACATGCGATTGAGGAGGATCCGGGAGAGGTCATAGCCTACAGTAACAGAGCGATTGCCAACCTTCTTAAAGTGAAGAACGCTACGTCTAGCAACGCTGAAGATCTCCTTATTGACCTAGCACAGACTGACACGGCGGGCCTCGAGATCAGGGGCATCGCTTTCCTAGATAGCGGAGATTATAGAGCGGCGATCGAGGACTTTACTCGCGCCATTAAGTTGAATCCAAATCACGCGGAGGCTTATTGCTATCGAGGATTCGCTTATTCCTGCGAGGGAGAGTACTACAGGGCAATCTTGGATTACGATAAGGCGATCGATCTAGACCCTAACCTCGGTGAAGTTCACTACAACAAAGCAATGGCATTCAGGCGCAAGGGACAACATATCCAAGCGATGGAGAATTTTGATCGGGCCGTCTCTCTTATGTCGAATGACGCAATGGTTCACTATGACCGGGGAGTCTCGCATCATTCACTAGGAAATTTCGCTGATGCAGAATTTGACTTTGCCAAGGCCCGAGAACTAGGGTTCGCTCCTGAGAATGGATAAAGATCGCGGTTTAGCCCCTCCCCCAACTCGGTCATGCGCTCAGCCACCTGGTCGGGGGTCAGGTCTTCGGTGTGGGTGGAGATGGACCATTGGTTGTTGTGGGGGTCGGTGATTCTGGCTAGGGGGGTCGCCGTAGAACTAGTCGGCGGGGTCGGCAATTGACGTGTTCAATGGAGGGCGCCCCCACGTTGGGTGGCGTTGGGTGGGCCGGTTTGAGATAATCCTCCGGTAGGGCAGACTATCGAGAGGGAAAATCGTGGGAACTGAAAACATCACCATAGAAGTGGACGGGGCGGCGGCGAGGGCGTTTGCCGAGGCTTCTCCGGGCGAGAAACAGAAGCTGCAGCTTCTGCTGAATCTGCGTCTGCAGGAGCTCACGTCGACTGATGGCAAGTCGCTGCAAACGGTCATGGACGAGATCGGCCGGGCGGCCGAGGCTCGTGGGCTGACGCCGGAGGTTTTGAAGACTCTCCTGCGTGACGAGTAGTGTTCGGGCCGTGGTGGATACCAACGTCGCGGTCAGTGCGGTGTTGTTGCCACGGTCAACGCCACGACGGGCGTTTGACCAAGTCCTCGAGCAAGGTACCTTGCTCGTCTCTCTCGCCACACTGGGCGAACTAAACGAGGTACTTCGCCGGCCCCGGTTCGATCGGTATCTGAGGGAGGAGGAGCGCCTGGAATTCTTGGCGACGGTTGCAAGAGAATCGGAACTGGTGGGAGTGACCGCGGCGGTGACCGTGTGCCGCGATCCCAGGGATGACAAGTTTCTGGAACTGGCGTTGAGCGGCGCCGCCACTCACGTCATCAGTGGAGACGACGACCTGCTGTCGCTACATCCGTTTAGGGGTGTCGCCATCCTCTCTCCGCAAGATTTCGTGGTAGAGAGGACCGGCACTGTGTAGCCGCGCTAGATTCGTGGG